CAAACATCTGGCTGGCACTACCCCTTCTAGGTATCCTGCAAAGGATTCTCATCGCATCATTATATGCAACATGCAGCTTCTGCATGCTACATTGTTTGTAGGATGACCACAAGGGGGGCAGTATATAGCAGTGTACAATATGCTTTAACAAAGCCACTTTAACTGGAAGTGAACAAAAGCTGAATTTGCGTGCAATAGTATTTGCCTGCACATAGAGCTTACACCGTTGTCTCTATATGTCATCATCATCATTCATTTGCTCAGTAATAAAGTGACCAAGGTATTTCACCTTTTTTTGGGCCACTTTAAACAAAGGGAAATTTAGCTGTTTATCCTGCTTCGTTCTACATATCAAAACAGCACTTTTAACAGCATTGTACTTTATGTCATATTGCACACCATTATTTGTTAGTCATTATTTTATAGCATCTGTTCAAAACACACTGTATGTGACAAATGCCCAGACAGTGTGTTGGAAGATCTTTTAGTCTCAACAAGATGAGCATATTTTTTTATCATATACTGAAAAACTAGAAATTAATCAGTCAAATCTATGTGTTTGCTGTCATTCTAGCAGCCTACATTAAAGTTTATCTTCTGGAGAATGGAATCTGTGTGGCCAAGAAGAAGACGAAATCAGTGAGAAAATCTCTGGATCCTCTCTACAACCAGGTCCTGGTCTTCTCTGAGAGTCCACAGGGGAAAGTGGTCCAGGTAAGATACACCTAACTTGACGTGCCATGCAGTTCGTTACACAGAACATTCAATTTGGGCATCAGCAGAAAATACAGAGAATGCTGATTCTATTGCAGGCTAATCATATCATGGAACCATTCAATGTTTTATGAAAGTGCTAAATAAGAAGTACAGTGGGCCAAAGTTGGAGGTGCTTCGAAAGTTAGCATCCATAGACATTTTGTGTCATCTTTGTGAAGAAAATATATCTATAAAAGAAACATGAATTCTGTATGAGAGCATCATCTTGCAGTGTCCTTACACCTAAAACACCCTCATGGCTTCCAATGACTGTCAACTGTGGAACAATCATTGGTACAGATCACTTTGATTTGTCAACAAGTTAACAACAAAGCTTAATGTGCAGCAAAAGGATTCCTGACGAATACAAAAAATAAGCTGTGAATTTACGTGTCTAATCTACAATATTGTGAAAAACCTGTAACTGTGAATAAATCCAAAATTTGGATTTTTTTTTTAAAGAAAGTGCGTTTTGTTTTGTTTTTTACATAAAATTGTGACTTTATTTTTCACACTATTTTTACAAGGGTTTTGTTATGTGTGATTCTAAGTTTCAGGTGCCCTAAGTTTAATTGATAGATATTTTTGTTTTTTGTTTTGTTTTGGTTGCGTGGCTCCCTAAAAGCTATTTGGCACAGAGCACTTTCATTTGTCTAAAATGTAACACATAATTTCAAGTTTTGTCATCAAAAATGTTGAAAGAAGAGCAATTGTTTTTTTTTGTAAAGGTCTATTTGTAAACAGAATTGAATATTGAACAGGAATTAAATATGTCATTGGTGTTTCAGAGTTCACAGTTTCATCATTCTGTAATATAATATCCATTAATATCCAGTACACTCTTCTTACATGATAGGATTGTTAATTAAATGGAAATTAACAGTATAATTTACATGTAATAACACTTTCTGAAATTTTTTTAAAAAAAAAGGTAAGACACAAATCCTTTTGGGATTTCATCAGAAAATGCATCTAGCATAAAAAAATGTCAAAAATACCTTTTTAAAAAGTCAAATCTATTATAAGTATTTGTGGGAGCACAGATTTACTAAATATTCAAGAGTTATACATGTATGTAAAAATACATGTAAAAACCAGGCCATTGCTGTTATGATAAATCCACTTAATAGTTTTTATAAAAGTGTTTTCAATTTTATTTATGCATAGTATATCTTTTTCCTAACATTTAATAGGGATTAAATGTACACGATTTTGAAAAAAATTCCAACTAATAACAATAATATTCTGTCATTTTTGGCCTGGGTATTTATATTATAGCAGTGTTTGGCTATATTATTAGGTAACTGTTTTAACAAGTAAATACCGCTATTTAACATAAAACAGACAAAAAATACACAAGAGCTCATGTAACTTAAAACTAAAAACTACATTTTAATTACAGAAAGTTGATGTAAGTTAATGCAATGATACATTTCTGTTATTTTAGAGCATTTTTTCTGGCGTCTTTTATGTATTTTTTTTCCCATCAGTAATCAGCAGGTAAAAATAGTATAGTGTTCAGTGGAGAGACTTGCAGCTCTTGCTCTGGCTGCTCTGCTGCTCCCGTCACTGTGTAATTAGCCACTAAACGCCTCCCTCTTAATTATCTGCTGTCATGTCGCTGTCCTTCGAGTTTCATCAAACTCATTCACACTGGATAATGAAAATCGCTGAAATCAGCAGCACTTTTCAATTTGTCACTTACTGATCTAGCAAAGCAAAAAGCTGCTTAAGTCTACACTGAAAAGTCTCTGAGAAACTTACTACTTGTGCCCAAAACCAACTCTCAGCTTTTTCAGCTATTTTTCCAGCCTTTCCAAAACATATCAAGTGTGAAATCTAACTAACAGCTGTTTGTCAACTTTTATTTTGACATCATAAAAAAACATTCTCCCATGTCCCCATTCTGAACATTTTATAAATGAGGCATGGCTATAAGGGGTAAATTAAGATTTTATATGGCGCATGACGACAAAGTGTGTAATGATTCACCAAATTCATGGTTAGGGGGTGGGCATAAAAGTTGTTAAATAGAGTACCACCCTGCATGATCACTTTATAATGATTTGTTAATTAACTAAAATGAGACTTCATTTGTCACACTGCCAAAAATAACTTGAAGTGAACACCAAGGGCCTGCGTGGGTGACAGAATGAAATTGTGCTTTATTTATTTACAGTGATACTAATATAAAACACTGCACAGTGAGGTAGATGAGTCCAACATGGTGAAAAAAATTGAAAGCAATGAGCTCAAGAAAAGATATAGTCAGGAGGAGAAAACAACCAGGGAGACTCAGAAACATGAGGGTATTACAAGGCAGAAGGCTGAGGGGGAATAGATTTAAGACAGTAATGTAAAAGGGAAACAATGAGGTGATGCACAGCACAGAAAGCCACGAGGAACTAATGTTCACAACAAGGCACAAAGTAAAATAACACAGAATACAACCGGAAGCAGAGGATGCAACACAACAAGCATTTTGGAATCTGAAATGAAGTCGTTAAAGGCAGATGATGTTTTACTCGGTGTCAATAAACAACAAAACAACAAAAATGAGTGGCAGCTGTTACTGAATTCCTAAATTTATACTACAGTTATTTTCTTCTTTCTTTGATTATTATTAAAAACAGATCCAGGGTTTACTTTGTGTATGTTTCCAGTATGTGTCTTTTATCTGACTCTTTTCAATCATTTATTATTAAGCTGTCTCTTCAAACTAGGGGGAGGTTCTGCTGTCAAACTGTCAGCGGATTAGAAAATGACATGCTGGCTATTTGGAATAATCTCACTAGGTTATATGTGACTTTTATATGCTAGACCACAGACATGTAAATATTTATTGTAACATACCCTTACTTAACAAGGTGAGGTAATTCTGTCCAGTGCCATTGCTTATAGATCAACGTCAACCTGGCATCAGTGTTCAAATTCAGCCTGTCTTAACCTAATCTCTTCTGACACGACCCTCAAACAGTTATTAAATTTAGTGGTTATTCCAAAATAATGGGTATCAATCTTTCTGTTTACGCTGCCTAAGAAAGCTTCCCACTGGAGGGATTTGCTCCCATTCGGGCCCAGAAACATTAGTGAGATCTAGCACTGATTCTGCCTTGTTCTCCGAGCATTTCTCTTATTCCTAGAGAGTGCAAACTTTGGATCTTGGACACTGCAGATGTCATCCTCCATAGCTAACAAACAACTGGTTTCTGCTGTTTTAACTCTCACTTCTCCCATTACCAATGTCTCTTTCCTAATTTGTAGAGGTTAAGGTTAAGATCTTTTTTGAAGAAAAATCAGAAAAAGAAATAGATTATCCTTCTTTGAAAAGCAGAAGACTAGGTTGAAATAGATTTGACCTTTGAGTCTCTGTGGAAATCACTTGCAGACACGCACTAACATATACCAAGGAAATCAGTGTGCTGGGATGTACAGACACACAAGACCAAAACATGAGTGGACACATTTGCTGAAGGATATTGATTATTTTGTCCACTCCTTGACAAGCTGCTGGGTGGTCTGAGATGAGTCCTGATGTTATCAGGATGTCAGGAGGCAGAGGACAACAAAAGTACAAACACACACAGGATTCCAAACACTACCATCATCCCTCTCTCTCGTGCACAGCACCTCTTTATTTAGTTTTATTGACACCTAACTCTTCACTCTGCTGCTGTACCAGAGAGAATAACTATCAAGACTGATGGGTTTAGTACAGATGAGCAAGGCAGCTTATTCCTTTATTTTGTTTTCAGTCTTGAAGTAGGCTCTGTAAACATGCATTCTATCCCTTCCTGAGTCTATATGTAATTACAAATGCAGGAAATAAACATTCTGGTTTTTATTATAGGAATATATTTTAGTATATTTTAGAGTCTTACCTTCTAACTCTATATTACGACTCTCTTCCACAGGTTATTGTTTGGGGCAACTATGGACGGATGGACCGCAAATGCTTCATGGGTGTAGCTCGAATCCTACTGGAGGAGCTGGACCTCAGCACAATGGTTATCGGCTGGTACAAGCTTTTCCCTACCTCCTCCATGGTGGATCCAACAATGGCACCGCTCATCCGCCATTCATCCCAGATGTCATTGGAGAGCACCATTGGGCCCTGTTGTGAGCGATCATAAGACTCACGCAGAAATGTATAGTTTTGATGTTGCGGCTAAGTTTCCATTGCTTCAACCAAGTACAGAGTTTTTGTAAACCCTGCATTGCTGCACCTGGGTCAGCCAGGCAGTGCTGTCCCTGGAGCAGGTAGATGTAAAGTATCTCACTCAAGGCTACTTCGACAGGCCCAGCTACACTGGGGAATGAATCACTTCCCTAATTTGGAAATCAATTTACAAACCAGTTGGTCATGCTGGTTCTCATTGGAAATGTGTTATAATTCTTTGATATTGTATCAGACTATTTCCCGAGACTCATGGGAAGTACATTTCTTTTGTTGTTGCAACCGACCGCCCCTCAGACTTGAAGGAATTTTTTTTTCTCTTCAGAGCTCTATAAAGAAAAAACAAAAACCTTCTTAATGAGGATACTTCAAAGAAGGGTTTGGTTGCCGACATTGATTACATCCTATTGGGACCACGATAGACTCCAGGCTCAGCTCGCTTCAGCTACAGCCCTTCTTTACAGCCTACATTCAATTCCCCATCCCAGGACTGCTTGTTGTCTTTCTGTGTCTTCATTAAGGGGCTGGGCAGCTTCTGAGTGTTATTGTCTACCCACGAGTCCTAGGAGAAAGTGAGACTGTCCTCAAATTGTTTGACAAACCACCATCTCATTTTGAGGGAGCATTGATGGCGAATGAATGTGTGCATAGCAACTTGAGAGGCTTTCAAAGAATATATAAAGTTAAGTGTTGTAACTGACCAAGACATTACCTGGTTTTTAGCACTTGACCTGTATTACATTTCTTGTGTCACATGTTTGGCCCATCATTGTTCACTTTATTTGGTCAAATGTAGAGAATCTGAGAGGTAGAAATATGAATGAAACCCCCATCATCTACTGGAAGGATGAAGATTTGGACCTGATTTTGTGGGTCAGGGCTAGTCCTGGCTTTCTCTCCTGTTAACTACATTTACCTGGAATACAAGGTATAAAGTGGTCAAAGAGTGAATTTATATGGCTTAGAAGAAGAACTACCACATTATGAGTTTTTTTAAAAAAACGTGTCTCATTATAACCCCAAAGCATGTACTTTTTAAATTGCAATGAATCTTGGTATTAGCTGATTTTGCAGATTGTTTTGTCACCATTTTTGGAAGGTGCTTTTCAATCACATCAGTTACTGTTGTGTTTGGAATCAAGCACATAAAAACATGTATCCTTTGGGTTTAAAAAAAAAATAGCTGGGTGTTTCTTGAATTAACAGCACACCGATTATGTTCAATTAGAGATTTCCAGAGTATGGCACCAGATGTAATCAAAGTCCACCAACCTGAATCACTTCAGGCGGTGTGATATGTGAAAACATTTGACTCCTTCCTCTTGAATATCGTTATGAAAATGCTAGTTTGATAGTTTCACAACCACACTAAATTGGATTTTATGCATGCATTATATCGTATTAGATTAGAATTAGAATTCAAACCAAATAACCATAAATGCATGATCTTAGCATGATTAAATTATGTTAACCTTTATGAGGACACCATCTACATAGGCCTGGCAAGAAACAACCAGGGTTTAATGGGCTCATGTTGAAGGTGTTTTATTCTTATTTAGTTTAATATAGTTTTCACATTCCACATTCACATGGAATACAGGAGGTAGTTTTGTATCTGAGCTGTAGCACTGACAAACAACAAGCAAATGCAATAGCAATCTGACGTCACTGACTTAACACAACTACATCCCAGTTTAAGTGTAGTTTCTTTTTAGCTAATACTGTAGAAATAGATTCCTCCCTGCTATTTTTAAAGCGTTGGCTAACAGTTGTCTAATAACAGTTTATACTGTGCCAATTTTTACCAGCAAGTGTCTTCTTCTTCCTTTTCTTCAATTACCTTGCGGCATGTGCCATTATGAGGGAGGCACAAAAACAACCACTTATAACATCTGACAGCAACATTCTGGCTGTGCAGAGAATCACCCCCTTTATTCTAAATTACAGTCCTAATCCACAGAACGTCAAGGCACCTGGTGATTAGCCATGCTACCACTCAGTACAGAGGAAAAAAGGAAAGAGAGGAAGGAAGCATGAAATGTACTTTGCATCATCCAAACAAAGGGTCTGAGTGGACTGGCGTCAGGTTTTGTGGACTTCAGAAAAGGACACAAAAATAGGTGGAATTAAAGGAAACACAATGTGCACACTGTAGAGAAATTCATAGTTTATTGAAACGCAAAAGCATATGTATTTCATTTGGGCACTTTATGATTCTTAATGTCTTTTTATGTGTAAATATTGTTAATGTCTTCTGGAGTGAGCCAAAGTTAACTTATCATGGCTGAGGTGGTTAATGTCAAAGCTCTGAAAGAGGGAAGTGATATTCTTGTTAGTTACTGTAAGATTGTAGCATTAGCTGGTAGCATTCGCATGACTAATTTAAACTTCTAATTAACAAACAACTTGATAAGACTAAGCATGAACTACATGCTACACAGCAGGAAGACTAGTGAAATACAGTACATTGGGTTAAGACCCAATGATAGTGGGGGTCAAAATATGTAGCAAATGTATTTAGATAATGATAAAGGTGACTAATTGTTTTTTTTTTCTAAATTAATAAAACATTCTAATATGAAGATTTTAAGCCAGTTTATTTCATTAATTAATTTATTGTTTTTGGGTTTTTTTTTACTTTGAATGAAAATTTCAGAACCAAATTTTTATTAAATCTGCTTTTAATTTAATCAAATCACCCAATTTGGAGCAATTTTACTCTAAAAAGGGGCCTCTAAAATTGCCTCTCTTTTGCCAGTAGCAGTGTTGCAGGGATATTAATGCTGCATTTAGTTCCAAACTGTTTAACAAAATTCTGTAAAGCAATAATCAGAAAGCATCCACTCACTGTATTTGTCTGTTACTTGACAGGAAAAATGACATGAGTAAGTAGTGATTTTCGCTGTGGTAAGATTCATCATTGAAAACAAAACAGTTGAATTCATCATGAGGCATAAAGGGACATTTTCTTTTTTAAATGTGCAATTCCAAACTTTTACTTTGAAAAAAATGTCTTAAAGTGTCCATTTGTTGCATGTGCAGACAAATGACATTGAATGCAGAAACTGAAAATCACTTCCAGAAAAATGTCATTTTATTTTTTTCAATGTTTTTTCAACAAAACTGTCATGTAGTGTCTTATATCTGTAAAAAGTGTTAGAACTCTGTATGTACCATACATACATATATACAAATATATAAAATTAATATATAATTAGATATAAAATAATGAACTCCCCTTACTTTCACTCAAGGAATGTGTTTGTATTAGTGCTTTTTGTGCCAAAACAGAGATTAGATTAGATATTTGATGGGTAATGGGTTGTTTTCCCAGTTTTGATTCAATGAAAGCCAGTTTCACAAAACTGGGATTCAGTCGTTCACCAAGCCATAAGCAGGATACATGCATCCAAATGATTTAGATTTATCTAATGGCAGCCAGGAGTGATGTAAAAAAACATCACTGAAGTTTCCCACCTCTCTATCTCTAACCTGCATCCGCTCCCTGTGCAACATAAAGGAACAGATGTTTATAAAGCATTTATCAAAGAGACAATTGTTAACTGTACCATATTAAACTTTAAACAAGTTCCCCAAAATTTCCCCTCTCCAGTGGAGCAACATGACAGCAGTAGTGTGCGATGCATGCAGGAAATAATGGGGTTTTATGACGTCTACAGATGCAGTCATTTGTGTGAATTTGGGGTATGATTTATTATTCGAATAATATTAATATTAATAATAATATTGTTAATAATAATAATAATAATAATTCTGTAAGTGTCTGAGAGACAGTTTATATGCCAGCCTTCTTACCAGGATTAAGAGTAACTGTTAATATTCATTGTGTAAATTTTCTCATGCAATGATTCGCCTTCATCACTTTGAGTTAGTCAGTGACACTGTGTAATTTTGAAGGCAAATGATTGACCTGATGAAGTCTGTTAATGTTATTGTTGACATGTTCAGGACCAAAAATGTATGTTTTTGCATTCCTCCATGTTTTGATTGTGTCTGCCACTTGGATGTTAATTGTGTACTTCTATCAATTGTAATGTAAGTAGAGGCCTTAAACACACAATACACATTTTTGCCAGGGCTAAGGAATGAGAATTGGCACACTAAGTGATCAACGCAGGGCAAGAAAAGAGAGAAAAAGACATTTCAATCCATTATTTAAAACAACTTTAGTGTCATCTATGGAAATAGAAATCTGTGCATATGTTCTTAATGAATTTCTGATATACTGAACAAATGAACAAATTGAGCAAAAAAACTACTAATAATAAAACAATAAAAACATATTTTACAGGATAGATTCAACCATTTTGACCCATTTCTTATCAAAACATATTTTCTAAACTGTGCTGTTGTTTATCTGTTGATGTTTGGATGCACCTCGTTTTACTTTTATGTTTCAAATGAGGTGTTTAAACAAAACAAAAAGCCCCCACTAATCCTATCTTGCCGAGGTCTTTTTACACTGTTAAGGTTGTAATTCTGCAAAACCAGACCTTACTTTTTATATATTAGTGGTACTTGATTGTATACATGGTGCCATTTGGGACCAATGCCCAAGAAATGAAGAAAACTGTAGGGGAACAATTTTGTTACACGTATTAAGCTTCTTGTGTGTTTTTGCTCATATTTTTTAGGGTGTAATTTTTACATACCTGCTCCTTTGGCTGCTGCTGGCTTTTACACATTATAAACTGCCATTCACCTGGTTATAGCAAACAGTAGTATATTAAGATGAGTCATGTGCTCCTTCGGTCTTTATTTATATTAACTTTAAAAATAAATCAATGAAGAGCAGATATGTCGAGACAGTTGAAAATCAAATTCTTAAAAAAAATCACATTCTTTAAAATAAAATAAATAGTCAAATATGAATATTATGCTTCCTGGCAGGCCAGACTTTCTGCTGCTAAGCAGCTGATAAGATTAGTGATGATATAATGTACAAGCACAGCTTGTGGCACTGAATATTAAGTACATTCAATAATACAATTCATTTGGGGATATTTTGGACTGTCAGAAAAATGCATACTTTCTAAAGACTCAGCACAGAATGCTAGTCTGGTGTGGTTAAGTGTGCTGTGTCAGCGATAAATGACCACTATGCCAAAAGTCTTTTAGGCCCAACACCAAGTTGTGGTGATAAAACGTATATGCCTAGGGTTTATGACCTCAGGGGAATCCTCCAAAATTTTGAGGTAAACAAAACATCCTTAATAATGACTAATATCTCTTACTTAAATTGTAAATTAAAATAGGCCAAAAGATAGTTAATGTTTTGCCCCATTTTGACAGAGATTATGTAGTTTGTGTTTAAATGTCAGCAAATAGCTTCAATATGTGTAAACTGGAGAACTACTTTTTCATGTAGTAGTCAATAAAACACCGAGCTAACCTTGGTGTACAATGGGTTAAGTCTGTGTCTGTTTTTGCAGATCAACCTAAAAGTGACACTGGAAAGATTTACCTTTGAAGAAGAAAAGAAAACAATTCTGTTATCTGCTAAAATCAGTCATATCTTTCCCCTCTGAAGTACATGAGATTTTACTCATTAGAAAGAAAGCAAGCACTCCTTGAATCGTTTTCTTTAGAGTGACAGTGTGTATGTTTCTCGACATATCAAATTATGTTCTCTCACAGGGAAGAGGTGGATGAGTGGGTGGATGAAAGGGAAGATGCTGCTCCTCTGTGGCTATTATGAAACAGTGGCTGGTGGATCCCAAAAGCAGCACATCTCCTCCAGTCCGCTGTGCTGCAGAGACAGCGATCCACAAGCTTTATTTCTTTCCTTCTTAGAGCCCCCAACTGCTTCACAGCCCAAAACTAACCCTCATAAATGTTTTCCCTCACACACCATCTGGTAGATTATCGCATTCAAAGCATTTCATATTACCATGACTTAATACATTACACAGTTCGGTGAACCAAGTGAGAATCAAAGTGCCATGAGAAATCATAACTTTGTTTTTTTCTTTTCTTTTGGTTTTGTTTTGCTTTTATTTTGTTCTGTTTTGTTGTTACCGTTTTTATTTTATGACTGTTTGGTGTAGATTTAGCTCTCATCTTTCTAGATTATATCTCAGTCATTCAGTTCTACACAAGTCTTAACTCACTGTTTTGCAAACATGGTTGTTTTATTTCCTCAGTGATACAAAGCCATCATATTAAAAAATTCACAGCCTTAAATTCTATTCTTTAAATCATGTGGTGATGTCTTCTAAAGGCATATGAGAATTGTCTAAACCATACATATTCCCAAGACCCCTAACATAATAAGGGAAGGCGATGTTTTGGTTTTAAGATGCGTAGTATAGAACAGTTTTACAGGCCTTCTTATGTTTTCAAGGACATGTAATATGGGCAACGTCTGGAAGCAATGTTACTGGAAAAGTTTTCCTTAGTGATGAGCATTTATCCAGGGAAAAATTGTTTTTGTCAGCTACACTTTCATTAGATAAATAAACCTATCCATTTTCTGTCTTCATTGTCTTTATTGTTGCACTTGCAATTTTTGCTACTAGAACATTAACAGCAGTAACAGTAAGGTATTTTGCCAGGTATCTGTTTAAACGCCATATTTTAAGAATTGCCAATCTGTTTAAATATTTGAAATACTGATTTGTAAGTATATTGCATTTTTTTTATTTACTTTATTCCAGTAGAATAGCATTAACAATCGTTAGCATTAAAGTACAAAAAAGCTGCAAAAGTCCATATGCATTGCTTTCCATTTGTTGCTCATGTTTTACTGACTTGAAGTCCTGAATGTTATCAGAAGAGTGACAAAATGTTGTAACTTTAGTTTTAGTCACTGCGCTGTCATTTAAAACACATATATTTGCAGATTCTTTGGGAAACCGTTATATTGTTGAGTAAATGCACAATTTGGTGTATTGTTATTCTATTCCAGCTGTCAATAAAATAGTTTAACTCCATCATTAAATGCTTTATCTGTTTTTTTTAATCTATTCGTTTAATTTAAGGTGGTCATATAAAAAGCAGCAGAAAGACGTTCTATGCTTACAAAACATTGCTTATTGATTATTTGTACAATGTCGATATTATATTGCTTTATTTTTAAACAGCCTTTTTAAGATCTGGCCAAGCGCTACAGAAGAAAACAAGCCTATGACTAACTCTGGGACATTTACTGCAATGTTTATTAATGCACATCATCCCTGTTAGAAAGAAAAAACAAATACATCAAAATCCTGGAAAAGGAATGTCACATCCACTCAAAGGGAGACATTCAGACACATACTTGTCATACCAGCTAAGAAGTACTTTTGAATTATAATTGAATTTTTATTTTTCAGAAGGGGGCACAGTTAGCCCATAAGCAACATAACACTGACAAGCTACATAAGGGTGAGAGTCTGGTTTGGATGGACAGAGGACTACAGCTTTACAACAAAAGACACTTCGAGGTCACAGACTAAGCACTTAATTGTAACCTATATGTCATTTGATAAGTAATCTGCATCATTCAACATCAGTAATCATTATTTCACCTGTTGTTGGTTTATGTCACTCTATTTGACATTCTGTGCCTTTATGGTGCCCTTTTAGCCATTCATCGTGACTTTATTGATAACTATTTTA